ATTGTTTTCATTTTTCGAAGTATGCTTACACTTATTAGTTTAAGTATTGATCTATCTTAAATAATTCATTTGTTAACATAAAATACTATATGTTCTAAAAATAATTATATTACTATTACGTATATACCATGGATACAATATCAGATGATGAATTTTTATACTTTGGTTCAATTCTGGTAAATTTAGCTTATCATTCTGGTTCAGTTTATCGAAGTCATTTTGATTCTGTAGATGAACTTCGATTTCATACTTCCAAAGATGATTTTACTATGCATTCTATATCATCAAAAACATTATCATCAATGGATAGTAACCATCATGAATTGGTTCTTCCATGTATGCCAACAACTTTTATTAAAATACCAACAACTACTGATAACATACAATCTATAGACTATGATTTCTGTCGACCACTAATTAAAACAAAACTTTCTAGTTGTTTAAAAGCTATTGTATCTGGTGCTCGATCAGCTCTAATAAAATCTAATTCATCTAAATGGTATCGATTAAAAGGATGTGGTGATAATACAGATGGCTTTTCAATTAAATCTATTTCAAATACAAATACAAAATTAACTATACGTGGATGTGCTTTTCTTCATACAACTTATCGTGAATTATTTATGACATATTATATAGCACATTTACTTGCTCCACATCATATTGAATGTGCAAACATCCCTAGTGGTTGGTTTGAATATAAATTAGAACATGAAAATTCCGATAATAGTTCTTCTGATATTCCAATAATACAAGATAAAAATTTAAATCAATGGTCAAATATTATACGTTGTTGTATTGTTATGGAAACATTAGGTAATAAACGTTTATCTGATCATGTTTTATATGGTCTTGAACAATTATTTAGTTTGATTATTTGTAATAATAATAATAATAAATCACATCCAGTTAATCAATCTAATTTGATATCATTATTTTCATCGGAACGTTTAACTAAATCAGAACAAAATACTGAACAATTTATACCTTTATCAACATGGTTTGCATCATTAACAAATATACTTCAACCAATTGATTATCAAAATTCCGAGTGGCTTCACAGATCATCTTATTTTTCTGATGAAATACCTTTAGATATCGATGAAAATCGATGGAAAATTTTATGGAAAACTAATATTGAAATTATAAATAATTATTTACAAACACAAGAACCATTATCTAATCTTTTATGTTTACTTTACAAACGATTTGGTTTTGAATGTGGATCAATTCTTGGTCTTATGCATTATCATCGTATAAGTTGGGGTACTTATACAGATGAATTAGGTGTGCATTGTAATGCTCATCCAAATAATTTAGTTATTAAATTATTTTCTTCAACATCACCTTTCTTATTAGCACCACTAGATTTTGATATGAGTTTTACAGAAATGAGTTATCTACCTAATGAAAACAAGAATCAATCATTTGATGAGATAATTAAATTAGAATTATCAGCTTTTCAATTAACATTAAGTGGAGATTCACAAGCAAGTAGTGGTGTAACAGCTTGGATAGAAATGCCAGATGCTCAATGGACAAGTGTTCGTTGGTTGTTGAGAGATATTATGTTAAACGAATTCAATAGAATTTATAATGAAACTATTCAAAGTGGATCTATTACATCATTTGATTCATTTTCTAATGAACAAAATTATGTCCTACAATCACTTATTCGTCTTGCTCTTATAAAAACAATGAAAGAAATCGGTTAACAAAAAAAAAATTGAATACTTTCGTTTTTTATTTTGAGCTATACATTTCATTTTATTGTTTTAGCAATTATAATTTTCTTTCAGTTTAAACATAAATAATAAGCAATAATTGATTGTGTGATAATGTTTATCTTTAACATGACTACGTTTATTTGCCAATAAATCAAAGATATCATGAAAAGAAAGAAAGGAATTTGTAAATATAGAATGTAAAACATTGTTCTATTTATACTATCGTCAAATATTGATCATGTTCATTTGATTTCGGTTTTTTTCTATAATGGTAGCCGATATAAAGAATTGCGATAGCAACTTAGAGAGACTGTGGGTTTGAAGGTGATCCTTCTCTTCTCCAACATCAGTACTAACTATCTGCTACATAGATACCTCACATCCAGCTACTAGTGAACTGTGTGATCGTAACCATAATTGTTAGTTGTACAAAGCCGTGCAAACAAACAGCTTCCGTTCAGCTTTTTGGAATGGAAATCCAAAACAACATGTAAATGTACACTCTTTTTTTAAGTGGATGAATTGTACAAAAAAGAGATTTCATAGAATGTAAAGAAATGAAAAAGAAAGCAATGTTCATATCGTCTGAATAAACATAGCTACAATTTTTATCTAATAGATCATGACTTATACATAGTGTTAACATATCGAATGGCCCAGAATAAATGTTGCCATCAATACTTCGCCAATATATTTTGTAGTTTCGGTTGCACAGCCTTCAACTTTTTCTCAAAAGATTCGTCATGTAATTCTAAAAAAACTCGATATGTTTCACTCAACAAATTAATTTTCTTCTATTTTTCTAACCAAATACAACTAAACAAGTGCATCAGGCGTAATATTCAAAACTTTCGTTGTTTTGTCATTTTCTTCGAATCCTATTTTGATGGACACATCCACGTAGTTGTCATTGCGATGCATTTTTAGCATATAGTTTATATTAGTTCAGTCGAAATAAGGTGATTTGAATCGTAATAGTTCGCAAAAGGAGTTGAAAATGGATTACAACGACCAACACATTGATATGTTCGTCAAAATGGCCTGCGAAAAAAATGACAAAAAATTAAAGTTTTGAAAATTATGCATAATGCACTTGTTTGGTTTTAGTGATTTCGGAAAATGCAAGAAAATGAATCTTCTGAGTGGTACATATCGTTTTATGCAAAATTGCACAATGCATCTTTTGAGAACATGCTGAATTATTTTGGACCATCCCATATTTTTGTGTTAATTGAACATAGTTTTCAATAAATTAAAAGGAAAGCGTTAATTTCTTCTGAAAAGTGTTCTTCATATACTACCTTTTGGAAAAAGTATATAGGAGAATGTATTTCGGAAACAGCAGATGTTCTTTACATTTCGATTTTATTGTGTACACTTTTCAATGACTTTAGAGTTACAAACGCTCTCAGTCCTATGAGTTGATTCTTTCTTGAAAACTGGATGCAGTGGACAGTTCGTTTTTGAATATTTGGTCCTTTTATATTTGCGAAAGATGAAGTTCGTAAAATCGATACTACCTCTATGAATTACTCGAAGAAACAATTGCACTAGATCAGTTTCTGTCCAAAGAATTGTTAGAACAGTTCTCGAGACTAGAACTAATATGAAACTGTTGTACGTGTAAATGGAACACGCTGCTTCCACTAGTTCTTTCTGTTCGTGTTCATTGTCTTCCATGGAAGATACCACATGGATGGCACTATCAAACAGTGAGCAAATTTTTTCTAGAGAACGTTGAAAGATACTTTCTTTTTGTGACTCGTTTTGATCATGATCACGAATAATTTTTTGCACTATAGCAATCGTGAATGTGATCGCAAATGTTAGTCAGACAGGACACTAGAAATGAGAATGTTTAGTTTATTGAATAATTTTCAATTTTTTCATTCTTTGTTTTTTGACATGGTTTGTATTGTTCTGGTTCCATCTTAATTACAGATAATTTTTTATCAAATAGACATGACTGATCATTTCGAAGTAAATAATCTTACAGAGAAGTGCTATGTGTGTTTCTGCCTATAATTGAGTCTCTGAGTTTCAAACGCAAGTAGATATGTATCAAGCTCAAGCCTAGACCGAGCTGCTTGAGCTCGAGCTAAAGCTCGGCCAAGTTTGAGATGGTCGTATCTCAATTTAGCTTGGTGTCGATTATCTAAATCCTGCATTCTTGTCAGTGCCTAATTTATTTATTTTTTGTTATTCAATAAAATCACTGCGATATTTGTACTTGAAATTCGTTATTATACAATGATAGGTGCATTCAAAGTAGGAATGCATTAATTCTTAGAATTCAAATTGGTGCACTTTAAATCAAGTTAAGGTCAGAAGTTGCGTTTGATGTAGGTCTATACTTTAACACGATCCATCAGTGAAAATCACGCTTAATAACTTTCTTTGAGAAGAGAAAATCAAGATCGAACCCGAACTAAGTTTTGACGAGCTCGACCGAATTTGACTGAGCTTGAGTCAAACCTAGCTAGATCGAGGAACACCTAGATAGGCCAAGTTTAGTAGAGCTGGAGTCAAATCTAGTTAGATCGAATTTGATAGAACTCCGGTCAGACCATGCCCGACCGAGCCCGAACCTGATCGAGATCAAGTCCGAGCAGCTTAGGCTCGTCACATGCCAAGATGTTAGATATTTTAGAATAGAATTCAAGTCTTCAGTTTGACATGCATGACTTTTTACAAAATGCTCTGTACTTCAATCAAATACATGAAATAATGTAGACAAGCAAAACAAAATAAAACTGATAATTCTAGAAGCAACACTATTCGTTTGTTTTGATAAGAGCAAGCAAACGTGTTTTAAACAAGTCTTATCGGAGCAAAATGGTATATCTACAAGGTATTCTCCAACCGGTAAAAAAGATCGGTGAAGACTTGCCGACCCAGCCACTTCAATCGGTCCACTTACGATTCTGAGATATGAGGCATGCTGTGTGCGTGTGAGAGGAAGTTAGTGCGCGCATGGGGAACGAGAAGGAACAAAACCATATCTACACCGTCAAGTAACGGCTGCTATTGCCTTAAGAAAAGATTTCTTGTTGAATTTATGGAAGGTAATTTATTTTAGATCGAAATGTACCAGTTTCTCTAATCTTTCAGACATTTGCCAGTTCTCTCTACATATATGACCATATCAACATATCTCTAACATTTTAGATTAAGCGGATTAAATATATGATTTTTTGCTGTTATGCTGTATCACTTCTATTATAACAGGTTCAGACAATCTTTTTCCAATATTGAAACTTTCACATTCCATCAATGGGAGCTCATATGTCAAGTCTTATAAAAGAAAAACATCTGGATGTTTATGGTACATGAACCGATATCTTGAATCAAACCAGAGTATCGTTTCTTTGTCATTTTCTACGAACGAATCTAGGCATATTCCAGGACAGTTATAAAATTATCATGTAACAAATAAAAATGAAATGTTAAATATTTGCGTTTCGTTTCGACTGCCTAGATTATGCAACTTGTTCTTTTTTGTCTTTTCTCTTTTTCTTGCAAATCTTATCATCATGTTTAACACACGACATTGTGACATATATCCTACATCATCATCGCTATGATACAT